ATCTATATGCAAAGAAAAGCCAAAAACTATGCTTTTTATCATTAAATGAAGATATAGCCTAAAGATGCTTTGCGGGTTTTACGGCATAACCAGATTTCATTCGCCCGCGCCTCTAGGCAGTTGTCCCCTTTGCCCTCCCCTGTCGGCGGGCCTGGTTCGAATCCCCGTCACACGGAAACATTCTCACCCGGTGTCAGAACTAGGACGCTAGTCCTACTCCCGGATACTCACCTCCAACAGAATTTGGAGGTGTGAGAACACCATATGAAACAAAAAAACTAACAGTGGAAGAATTTAGAATATTTTAAATTTGTTTTCACATAACTTCACGAGAAAATATTAAAAGTAACTACCACTTTAAGAAAAAAATTTAAAAACTATTTGATATAAATCGAAAATAGAAATAAGCAAATGAAGGTGAACTTTTTTAAAGAAGCCAGAAGCTATTGCTATAAACCTTTGAAAATATTTCATGAGAAAAGGTTTAAAAAAAGGATGGTTGACCTTTACAAGAAAACTACACATTGCCATAAGCCACCAGGAAAAATATATAGTTAACCATTAAACTTCTAAAGAAAATCATATTTTAACTATATGAAAAAGTTGGAAGTGATGGTAGACTTCTGATATAATTGAATGATTGTTGCAATAAACCTTTAAGAAAACTGACATACTCATATAGAAAGAGTATTTACATTCTCAGTCAAACTTTAGTGAGGACACTATAAAATAACAGTGATTGTAAATAATATTTAATGTTGATAGTCAGCATCATTATAAACATAAGCCGCAGCCTTAACTTGGTCTGTCATATATTACCATCCCGAAAAAACAACTACAATAACCTTAATTTACATAACTACAGTAGTATGCTAGGCATATATTACCATCATGAACTAAAACATAACTTTAACTTTCATATGTCATAACAAGTCATTGTAATAATGTAAATTGAGACAGTCGTTTTTCATGATGATAATTACACGTCTCAGGACAAATTACATAAGTTTAGACTGTATGTTTTGTTCGTGATGATAATAAGTGTCGTAAAAGTCATTGCAGTTATCAGTACAAAACAGTCATTATCATGAATAAAACAGGCAAGTCACATACGTCCTAACAAATGTAATCATCATCATGAAAAACAGTCTCAATTTACATTACGTCAGTGACTGGTTATGACATATATCATCACAAAAAATACACAGCGTTAACTTACACATATACCCTTGTCAAGATACATCATCATAAACAAAATCCAGTTTTAATTTACATAATTGCAATTGTTAAAATATATCAAGGGGAAATAAAAAACATAGACTTAACTTACATATTTACATTTGTTATGGCATACATTATCATCATGAACAAAAAATTCAATCTTAACTTCCAAAGTTTACTACGAGTTGTATGACATAATAATCACGAGCAAGAATAACAGTCTTAAGTTACATAATTACAATTATTTGTTTTGAAACATATCATCACGAACAAAAACCCACAGCCTTAACTTTTATAATTGCAATGACTTATGCTAGTCAAATTAGATAATTACACTTGTTATTGCACCTTTTCAGGAATAAGAACTACAGACACAACTTAAACAATTACAACTGTGGGAAATACATTATCATTATAGACAAAAATTATCTTAACTCACATAATTATACTTACACGGTAGATCATAAAAGTTTATATAAAATTCAATTACCTAAATTACGTATAAAATTTCAGTAACGCTTTGCCAATTTGTTTAATTTAGGCTACTCTTGAATATTTAAAAGTGTCTCCTTCACCCATAGCATTATCACGTTTTTGGTTTTACCAATTATTTTGAACCTACTGAGGGATGTGACCACTTTGAAATCATTTGGTACATGCGGCACATTGTTTGAACTCTTCTTCAACCTAGGTTTAGAGTGTTCGTTTAAACTATATCCCAGTCTTCTGATAGCCGAGCCGATGTAAGAGTCCCCACACGGTGGGCAACATATGAACTCTTCTTCAACCTAGGTTTAGAGTGTTCGTTTAAACTATATCCCAGTCTTCTGATAGCCGAGCCGATGTAAGAGTCCCCACACGGTGGGCAACATAATTTACAAATGACGTGACTGTTGAGAAAACTGGATTCGATCTTTAAACTTGAAAACGTCCTGGATTCTCAATAGAGGTCTAAACACACATTGAGAGAGAACTTGGGAATAGATATTTAATCCCTTAAAGATTCGTGAATGTGAGCCTGTATACGGCAGATAGATCATAACTTGTAGCTTTGGGACGTCATATTTCAGTGACGTCGATATATGTATTTATGGAATGTTTTTATTGATGGAAGAATCTATGAAAGTTGTTTGGAAATGAATTAAGTTTTAAAACGAAATTAATTCTGTGTAACTCTCGCTGTAAAGATTCACAGAAATTGGTGATTTAGTGTGTCCGTGACATAAGACATTTCACAAGGCTATCTTTCAAATGAAGTGAAAAACTGTCAAAGTGGGTGTATAGTGTGGTATATGTTGGTTTCTGATAACAACGGCCATCATGTGTCAAGAAAAGGTAGAGCAGAACATTGTTGGTGTTCACACATTAACTTAATGTTAACATGTCTAGAATTTAAATATTGTACAAAGTTCACTAATTGATCTTCATTTTTGAATATTACAAATATGTCATCAACATAGCGATTGTAAATAAGTGGTTTTAACTCAGTAAGACAATCCTTCAGCCAACTATGCTCATGAAAACACAGGAAAATATTAGCCATTACAGACGCTAAGCTAGACACCATGCTGACTTCAATCTATTCATAAAATTCAACATTAAACTGAAAAACATGTTTTCGTGGCAAATTCCATTAGTTGTCTGAAAGATTTGTTTACTTATCCCATTAATACATTCTGAATATTTGAAAACAAGATTTGAACAAAGGTTAATACTCATCTAGTTGAAGGTTAGTGAACCGAGATTCAATATTTAGACTGGTTAAATAAACATCTTCAAACCTAAAGTTTCTAACATATCAGAAAAAAACAAAGCTGTCTTACTCTGTGTGAAAGTAAAATTAGTTAAAAACGAACTAGGAAAGTTTGTAATTAAAACAACCTATGTTGGGAACAGTAGGTCTATTGGAGCAATCAAAGTTGTGAATTTTAGGTAGCCCGTAAAGTGTGAAGTGTGCCTGAGTGGAAACAGACTGGTCTAATGTTGTTATAAGTATTATCTTCCAGGGCATTAGTTCTCCTCAAATTTAGCAAGTATAGGGTTTTTTGATAGTTTAGAAAACGTGGTAGTGTTACAAATTGCCTTTGTTCTTTTATCAATGTAGTCTATTCAAAATAGCCGTGCAGTTAGCTTTGTCTGGTTTGGTAATGACACAGTTACTATAGAATTTAAGTGTGTCTAGGGCTATATTTTCTTCTTTGCTGATGTTAGAACGTTTGTATCCCAAATTATGGGAATGTAACCCCGAGAAGGCGATACTGTTGATATGTGTTCTACAGTTACTGAAGATTTCATTATAAAGTGGGTAAAAATCACAACTTTTAACTCTTTCTAACAATAGTTCAAAAATAACCAGATAATTGTGGAACCGAAGCTTTTCTGGTACTAGAAAATATATTAAACCCCTAAATAAAACTCTTTTCTATACTTCCCCTAATTAAGTCATACATGGTCATCATGAACAAAATACAGCTGTATTTTAAATAATTACACTTGTTATGACACATTATCACCATGATGAAAAAGCACAGTCCAGTCTTATCTTACAATATTACGATGTCTTGTTTTGAGATATATTATAAAAGGCATTAAATGTTATGAGAGTACCTGTTATGAAAATGCGTAATTTAGAAATAAAAACATTAACACAAAAGAAAAGTTGTGTGAACTATTTTCTTCGTATTCCCTAAACTTAAAATGGTTAAACTCGAGTAATAAAATGTCAAAGTGACTGTTCAACCTACCTTGAAAACAGATCTACACAGAAAGTTTTCCTTCACCGGTAGCAATCTCATAATCAGAAAAAAAATACAGAATATTGAATGTTTTTTGGTGTTTTTTCATTTGCAAAAACGACATTTTACTATATTAATAAAAATTAATTCAAACTAGATGGTTACTGAAACATGCAGTATTATACTTTGCTAATATCATCGCATTGTTACCTATTAAGCTTCCAGCAATAACCTACGACAGGGTAGAGTACGTGATATTAAAACAATTTTGAGTATATAAATCATCAAGTCACGTGTCATCCTCAGCTGATATAGAAGGGCATTATCAGAATTACATTTTTACTTTGTTTAGCGTTACTTAAGTAGTGTGATGCTACCGAAAATTCAATAATATGTAACAGTCATTTTCGAGGTAAAATATTCATACACTCGAACCATACAAATCTGTTAGGATTGTGAATTTAAAATTTAAGATGGTTTTATTCATGATACTTAATGGCATTGAAAAACATAGGCATGTGGATCAACTTGGGATACCAGGACTATTAAAAAGGATACTTGAAACAAAACGTGGTAATCAAATTGTGGTGTCTTGTAAGAGGCGATAATCCACGAATACAAAGGTCAGTGCTAAAAACTATCGTGTTCCAGGCATCAGTACATAAGAATTAAAAAATATCTCTTTCTGGAAAAATAGATCGACAGGATAAAGGTCCATTAAGATAAGACATCTAGTCATACCTCCCATTCAACCTTTGCATACCTCAAGCAGTTCGGAAGTAAAACTGGTCTTCATAACATTCCACATGAAGACATACCAGTGAAGTTGCCAGATTTAGAGCCTATGGATTTCTTTGAAAATGAACTGTAAACTGGCGCTGGAAAGCGTCGTAGTTTACGTAAAGGAAGCATGGAGAAGTGGTGAGGTTAGAGCATAACAGCCTTACGACGGAAACTGTGGATCTATTGTCAAGATGCAGGGTCGTCAAACAGAGCCTGATTGAGCATAGCGAAATGGACTGTAACGATGTTGTGAGGCTCTAAAATCGTTTTAACATAGTGTACTCTACCACCTTTATTGGAAACAGAGTACACAATCTGTTATTTAAGTCTACGCCTTGGAAAATAATTTAATCATTTCTTATGTAAGATTTAATTTTTAATAACAAATTTGTTTCTTTCTTAAAACTATAGCTATCAGTTTCCAAAGTTTGAGGAATAAGCTACTTACTTTGCCATCTCACTTAATTGTAATTTCCCGTCTTTGTTCGCATCAAAAATGTTGAGCTGGAGTAAAAAATGGAAATTTTCAGCAAAAAAAAACAAAAAAAAAAGATTTTGAACTTCATTGTCAATTTATGTTCATTAGTATTGGTTAATAAAATGTCAGTGAGCAAGTTATTTTAGTGGATAAATTTAAAGCTAATAGATAGCAACATGAATTAAGGTAAGAGTATGTAGAAACGTAAAGACTGGAAAATAATGTTCTTCTTTGAAAAACAGTATCATTACTATTAATAAATAATATAAGCATTAACAATAAAATATCATATTTAAAACGAAAATTAAATTGGAAAACATTCAAGTTTTTACACGACTCAAAAGCGTTACTTAATTGAAGTGTTTAAAATTCAGTATTTACTTTAATTATTTATACTGTGTGGCTGAATGCATTTAATGCTAAACATCGGATTTCGATACTCGCAGTGGGCAGAGCACATATAGCTAATCGTGTAGCTTTGTACTTAACAGAAATATGCACACTATGGCATTTAGTATAGTAGTTCGCAGTTACACACTTACACTAGATTTACTCTAGTTACTGTATACGAAAATTACGGTGGTATTTACAGTTCTTTCTTGAACTGCTGAAAACCAATAGAAAATACAGTGGTATTTTATTATGCCATTTGAGCAGCTGGTGGTACACAGAAGAACCGCCATGCTGCTCGATATATCGCAATTCTCAAGCAACTTTCCACCTGTCTCTATCAGTAACCAACTTAATAGATTGGCCTCCTGCTCATTCAGCCCAAGCAAGGCTGGTGCCACAGGAGGGTACGAAGATATCATGCTCACTAGGTCCAACTTTGTTTCCCCCAGTTCTATTCTACTACCAACGTTAATATATATATGTAACTTACATTACAAATTGCCAAGCTTTCCAGGGCTTATACTAAAACTTTGGTCAAATTTGTGTTTCTCTTAGAACGAGTATGTCTGCTTTGATATTCAACGCTAAAACATAACAGTCAAGTCTATACTAATACACAAAAAACTGAAACCTGCAGGAAATACCACCAAAAAACATTTCAAACACCAAATGAAACCACAATCAACACGTGTTTCGTCAAAAAAGAAAACTACATAAACAAAGTGTTAGAAAATCTAACACCCCAATGAAAGAATAGACCATTCCAAGCTTTTACTTGTTGTTAAACAAATGTTTAAACAACTATATTCAAACAAAGAGTTGTTTATACCTTGTCTTTCCAGTTGCATCAGTAGTAGCTCAAACAGAAAATATGAATGAACAAGATGTCGCAACACAACTTTTCATTAAACCAGTCGACAAAGAAATACAACATACTAGGGAAAAAAGGCTGAAAATATGACTCCAAGTCAGAATCGTATATAATATATATCAATCAGTCCTTAACCTGTCATTAAAATCAAGACTACATACCACCTGCTTGGAAGCTAGCAGATGTCCAATGTTTCTAAAAGAGATTAAGCTGGCAAATAGACCAGAAAGCTACAGAGCAATCAGCCTAACGAGATGTATTGCCACATTTCTAGAAAATCATCAGTAGAAGACTAAAGCTATCTAGAGCTATCACTGAACTTTCCGGAAATACAAAATGATTTCCACAAATCAAGACAAACCACAGATAATTTAATCCTTCTTACCAAAATTGTAATATAATTTCAATCAGAAAGAATGCACTGTCACCTACCTGCCTTCTCAATATAGAGAAAGCCTTTGACAATGTATGGCATAATGGGTTAAGATTCCAAATGTCTCATATCATACTGCCGCGTGATATTATTCTTTGGCTTTCCAACTTTCTCGATATTAAAAAAGGTAAGAATTAATGTGTTGCCCACATTCTCAGAATATTTTAATCCAGGGGCAGGTGCTCCGTTCCATAGCTAACTCTAAACTGTTCCCAGTTTGCTTACGACGTGGTTTTATAGAAGAGTTCAAAATCTCCCGCCATAGCTGCGACTAATTTACAATCACAATTAAACATAAGAGAGGATTTCTGTAATAAATGGAGAATAAAGATAAATACTCCCAACTCACCAGTGATACTTTTCGCAAAATAGTGAATTAAGTAGCTAGCCTTGCAAACGAACTATATTTAAGTGGAACCTTTCTCGATATAATCATATTAGCTAAATTCCTGGGCTTGACTTACGACTGTCAGGTCTCTGTGTCTTGTTCGCGATAAATTCGACAATAAACGGACAGCACACACTCCACTTGTTTTAAGATAATATGTTCAAAACAAGTCAAACTATGTACAAAATTTCTTTACACTATGAACATCATAGCTGTATCTCAAACTCTAAATAATTCTATTTTCTTGTCAAAAGTCCACTGAGGCTGATTCAATTATTTTAAAATCTAACTAACAAGATGAACTATTTTTCTTTACTCTTCTCACATTAGTATCAGTGAATAATTCACTTACATTACTCTGTGGTTTACCACAGTTGTATCTCGAACTTTAAATAATCGTCTTCTTTAGTCAAAGCCCACACAGACGGATTCAATTACTTTAGAACACCCTTTCACTAGACCAACTATTCTCCATATCTCTATTAAACCGCGAAACATACTTTAAAATATCGCCTGTTATAGCTAATCACTCACACACTGGCTAACTTTATGTTTTCTTTCGCTAACTAATTTTCTGGCCGAACTACACTTTGCTTTTTCTCTACTTTACTGCACTTGACTTCTTCTTCTTGACTTGCACTTCTGATCCACCTTTATAAATACCTTATTCACTGAGGCCTCGTAAAATAGCAAATATTCGAGTAATGTGACGTCAACAATATTAGTAAAGCCTAGACAACAAAGTAATTGCAAATACAAGGTACGACTGTACGGAATTACTTAATCAAACTTCTTATAACTATCGCCTTTAGAATGGTTAACTTTTAACTCTATTGTTACGAAAACTAAACAATCATTAAATATTAACTCACAAAATATATCAAATAATAATTCCTACACTAAATAGTCTCGTATAGCCAACAAGTAGAAATATTTACAATATTGTTTTTTACACTATATACAAAGACTGTTCTTAGTTTATATACTAAGTCTTCTCATATAGTCTACACCAACATTTACAGTTCTTTTGTAGGTCTTTCCTCACGTAGGGCCTCTGGTAGGTATTTACCTAGACAGGATCCCTTGTCTTCATCTTGATCTTGTGTTGTCTGGGGTCTGTCTCTCCTGATCTATCTGTATACTGGCACAGTAGATCTTCTACCTCTTTCTTCCTCCTGCCAGTCAGTTCTTCACTTATATTGACATCTTTGTCTGTCTCATCTCCACCCGGAGTTTTAGGCGTAGTAGGTTTCATCTTCTATAACGAAATCACTGTCTTCATATTCTGATTCTATGACAGCCACACCTGCCACGTCCATCTGTATCTCAATAGCTGCCCCCATAAGGTCTTCTTCCCTCTCGAAGTTCCTCTTCAACAGATTGGTATGGTAGACCTTGGTAGCCCCATCCACTTTCACCTTGTAATGCATTCTGTTGACCACTTCCTGGACTGCAAAAGGTCATTTCCACTGGAGGGTGAATTTGTTGTTGTCTGTGGGTAGCAGTACTAAAACCTTCTTAAAGCTAGCTTTTATATGTGGAACATATGTTAGCTAAGTTCTTGCACATATCTTAAAATATAACATTGATAAACGGAAACATCGGCACATGTAGATATGTAGATCTTGAAAGTCGAGTTGTTCAAAACTTAAAAATAGCGTTGATAACTGGAACAATTGTTGGTTGAGATGTTGCAAAGGAAATATTTGCTGAAGCTTTTCACCAGGTACTAGTCATAGCAGAACCGTCTGGAAAATGATCTATAGGAAATAGTACAGCTTATAAAACCTTCTGCCTAGCCTTTAAATATCGACCCTTGGCCTTGTCACATAAGTACTACTTACTGCCATGGATGTGTTTAGTCGAACTGCTTTGAAAGGTCCAGGACAATACTCCTTTCTGGTCATCCATTTTGTAAGTCTCTTTCCCTTTTGTCTTGTGCTCGACTTTCTTCTGTGCACTGTTCCGAAGTTTCTGCAGAGAAGGGTCTTTCTTCTGCACTTCCTTCAGCTCCTGTGAACCTACATTCAGGATGTCATTTTTGAAGACATTATGACGCTTGATATTTAGTCTGCTCTTTTTCCCTTGAGCTATTGTGGTGGCAGCAGATGCCACATCATTCTTACTTCTGTATAGTTCCTCCAAATTTCTACTACCTGGTATGTTTCCAATCACAAAGTCGTATATTGGTGTCTTGATACACATGGCTTCAAGGTCTCCAACATAATATGGAGTATCCACCTTTATTTTTGGTATAGGAAACTTTCTCATTGTTCCATCAATTAGTACACACAGGCATACTTTGCCTGTCATCCGGTTAGCAGATACTAGACTGATTCTCACTGCTACACTACTGCACCAAGTGTCTCATAGAACCTTCACTTTCTTGTCCCTGACACAGCCTTCACATATTGGTACATCATGATTTTTTGGCACCTCTTGATATTGGTAATATGCTCCAATCACTACAGACACTGTTGATTCTTTTTCTAACTTAAGCCGACCATTAGTCATGTACTGATCAATCATGGAAATGGCACTTCTTTCTTGTAGTGAATCTGATGAGTTGTCTTGATTCTACTTTTTTCTAGCAGCAGCATCCATTTACAGCCTTTCTTTTCTTGTTTCTTACCAGCACTATCCTTGTAAGTAGCTCCAGCTGCATTATGTTGAGCTTTCTACTGTTACTTGTCGGTAATGGAATTGCACTCCTTCACAATGTGACCCATTTTATAACAAATATAGCATCTCTTTTCATCTCTTCTCCCTTCTGTCACCTTTGATAGGCTCCTGCTTCTGGTCAGGCACCACTGGTTTCTACTTTAACTGGATATTCTTGGACTTGCCAGTTATACTCCCTCCATAGGCTTCCATATGCTGTTCTGTCAGCTTGATCATCTCCTCCACATATTTTGGCGCGCTCTCCTTTAGGAACAGTGAC